TACTCAGTGTGTTCAAGTATGGTGCTTATGCGTAGCTTTGATAGTGAGCATTTATTGTGCTCATTAATGGTTTTAAATTATGATGTTGGTTTGTGTTCGTTTTGTATTATAATTAATTTATTGCGTTCTTTACAAGCGCTCGTTTATGGTGCTTAATTAATCAGCACCATAAGTAACTTACTTATGGTGTTGTGTTATGGTACTATGATATGGCGCTTTATTATGCTATATTATGGTGTTGTGTTATGATGCAATGCTGTGGTGTCATGTTATTATGTAGTGTTATAGTGCTGTATTATGGTGCTGCTGTGGCTATATATTATGGTGCTGTCTTATGATAGTATGTTATTACGGTATGTAATGACGGTATGGTTTGGTACTCTAGTTTGGTGCTATATAGTTGTGCTGTTTTGGAGCTATGTTATGGTGTTATGTTGTAGTGTTACGTTGTCCTACGTTATTGCCCTATGTTATAACGTTGTGTTATGATGCTGTGTTATGACGCTGTCTTATGGTGCTGTGTTTTGATGCTATGTTATAGTGCTAAATTAAGTTGCTATGTTATTTTACTATGTTATTTTAGTGTGTCATGGTATTATGTTACATTTCTTGGTGATTATTTAACAATGGTGCGTACTTAGATGGGTGAATATAAACCATACCACTGGAGGGGTTAGAACCCGCTATCAGAGAGTCTCAAAACTCCAGACCGTCCAGACGGTCTGGAGTTTTGACTCTCTGATCGCGGGTTCTATCTCCACCCGTGGTATGGTTTGTATGCAATCGTGTCATTACGATTTCGTGAGCCAAGTTATAGTAATACGTGGGTATGTAGTTATAGTGTTCAATGTTATGTTATAGAAATCATTGTGCATGGTTGTTTTGTTAGTGGGGTTTAAAGCTTATCGACTACAAAGATTAAGGTAAACTCTCGACACATACAATGTGAGACATACACTTGACAGTGTATATACTATATGTATTATGCTGGCTTATGGTGGTTTTCATTCGGGTTATTTTTATGGGATATTTATTGTTCAAAATTATGGTACAGGCAATGAATAGTGAAGTTAATTAACAGGTTCTCGCATACTAATTATTTTTTTTTATTAGACGACATAAAAATCATTTATTAATTATCAGAAATGCCACAAACTTTCCCCTTTTCGCTGTTCTTTGCTGAGCTACGGGAGGGAAGAGAGGAAGAGAGGAATGAAGAGTGGAATACAGAGGGAAAGAAAGAGGAAGTGGAATGTAATCATAAGGTTCTTACTCTTTTTCTGAGACATGAAAGTATAATATGAATTTCCATACGATAAAAGTAACAAAAAAATTTCACATTTTTCTTTGGTAATAATATTGTCTGAGACAGGTGTAGCCTCGCAGCTGCCTGCTACAAGGTGGTGTAGCCTCGCAGCTGTCTGCTACAAGGTGCTGTAGCCTCGTAGCTGTCTGCTACAAGATGGTGTAGCCTCGTAGCTGCCTGCTACAAGGTGCTGTAGCCTCGTAGCTGTCTGCTACAAGATGGTGTAGCCTCGTAGCTGTCTGCTACAAGGTGCTGTAGCCTCGTAGCTGCCTGCTACAAGGTGCTGTAGCCTCGTAGCTGTCTGCTACAAGGTGCTGTAGCCTCGTAGCTGCCTGCTACAAGGTGCTGTAGCCTCGTAGCTGCCTGCTACAAGGTGCTGTAGCCTCGTAGCTGTCTGCTACAAGGTGCTGTAGCCTCGTAGCTGCCTGCTACAAGGTGCTGTAGCCTCGTAGCTGCCTGCTACAAGGTGCTGTAGCCTCGTAGCTGTCTGCTACAAGGTGCTGTAGCCTCGTAGCTGCCTGCTACAAGGTGCTGTAGCCTCGTAGCTGTCTGCTACAAGGTGCTGTAGCCTCGTAGCTGTCTGCTACAAGGTGCTGTAGCCTCGTAGCTGTCTGCTACAAGGTGGTGTAGCCTCGTAGCTGTCTGCTACAAGGTGCTGTAGCCTCGTAGCTGCCTGCTACAAGGTGCTGTAGCCTCGTAGCTGCCTGCTACAAGACGCTGTAGCCTCGCAGCTGCCTGCTACAAGGCGCTGTAGCCTGGCAGCTGCCTGCTACAAGACGCTGTAGCCTCGCAGCTGCCTGCTACAAGGCGCTGTAGCCTGGCAGCTGCCTGCTACAAGACGCTGTAGCCTCGTAGCTGAATGCTACAAGACGCTGTAGCCTCGTAGCTGCCTGCTACAAGACGCTGTAGCCTCAGAACACGATGTGCAGCAATAATTCTTCTCTTTACACTAACTTTCTTCGCTTTCTCATTTCACATATCTTTCCATTCGCAGATTTTAGCAGCTTACGAACAATATATAGAGGTAATGGTAAGTCATAGATCCTTCTCTCCTTGATAATTGTCTCACCTTCATACTTTTCTTTATTCGAGTAGACCGGTGGACCCCAAGACTAGTGAAATGCTCCATCAGTCGACCACTGGACCCATATACCAATGGTTCACCAGACCAGTGTGCCATTAGCATATTATGTCAGAGAATCTCTAGACCACTGGAATAATGTGTCAGTGGAGCAGTGGTTCAGAGAAATATAATATATGTGTATGTATATATATATATATATATATATGTGTGTGTGTGTGTGTGTGTGTGTGTGTGTGTGTGTGTGTGTGTGTGTGTGTGTGTGTGTGTGTGTGTAAGGTTCTCTGAATCACTGATCCATTGACACATTATTCCAGTGGTCTAGAGATTCTCTGACATAATATGCTGGTATTTTGTTACATATTTCACTCAAGTTTTCACACATTTTTTTCAATAATCATATATACTTGTATAATGTAAAATACGCACAAATATATGCAACTGAAGCATAATACGTTGAATATACCTTGAAACAGACAAGTATTTACAGCTTCTGCAACACTGTATTGCAGTCGAAGGTTTCCCAGTTTTCTGTCTGGTAGGAACTCACTCGCGAATCATGCTCATAAAGGACATTTTTTTCTTTCAGGTGTCCAGGGAGAAAGTGGATCTTTCGTTAGAAAAAGGCTTACGAGCAAGTTTTATTTAGGGAGCTTCGGGAGCAGCAGGTATCATATTGGAGTAAGTTCATCATTTCTAAGTGTCACAGGGCAGCATTATCATCAATAATGCGTGTCACACTGGAGCAAGAACCATCAGTAATGCGCATTATACAAGAGAATGCTTATTTGTCTGTTGTATGTAAGCTCCACGGGCAACTAGTTCAATAACACTGAATATCACACGAATATATGGTTCACCAGGGCTGAGTGGCACAGTGGAGCAGATTCATCTGTGCTGGATGTCACGTAATAGATTCACAAGTGCTGAGTGCCATATAGCAGCCTCACTGGCAGGGTTCACCACTGATGAGTGTTACATTGGAGTAGGGTTTACCACCACCGAGTGTCATATAGCAGGTTCACCACTGCTGAGGCTCACATAACAGGTTCACCACCGCTGAGGGTCACATAGCAGGTTCACCACTGCTGAGGGTCACATAGCAGGTTCGCCACAAGCAAATGACTTAAGCAATATGTGCTCGGGAAAAGTCTTTCTCTTTAGCCTTTAACTGACGTTGCTGCAATTGATACTGCTGTATTGTTGTTTCTGTTGCTATTTCCGGTGCTGCTGTCACCGTTGATGTCACTATTGCTGTTGCTGCTGCTACCCTCTCAGTCATTAACAGGAGACTAGAGAGATTGAAGCAACGCAAATTATGCAAATGCAACCAGACATCATATGCAGCCATTGAAGAACAAGGAACAAGGGGACCAGCAGACGTAGTAGATGATTAGTGGATGTAGAAAAGCAGACAGGGGAGCAGATCCAGCAGGTGGAGCAAGCAGGGCAGGAGGCAGGACAGGTGGTTGAGGGCCCGGGGCTCAACACCAGATGTGCTCGCTGCATCTGCAAATGTCAACAACAGGTGTGAGTTCGGTCTCCTGTGTGCTAGAGATATCTCTGTCTCCCCCAGTCTGGTAAGAACGTGGATTATGATCCCAGTTTATCTCTCTTCTCTCTCCCTCCCTCCCTACTCTCTCTCTATCTCTCTCTCTGTCTTCCATCTTCATAAAAAGATGGCAGCTTCCTCAGTCCACTCACACAAGAAGTAAGCTGGTTCAGGGTGAGGAAGACAGGCCAGCTGGTTCAGGGTGATGAACACAGGCCAGCTGGTTCAAGGTAAAGAAGACAAGCATGTTAGTGCAAGAAGAGGACATGAAGAGCCAGCTGGTTCAAAGATAAGAAGAAAAACCAGCTGGTCAAGGGAAAGGAAGATACTAGGTGAGAACAGCGAACTGACACAAGAATGAGAAATATGATTCTGCCTCCTGCTGTCTCACTCGTTTCTTTTAACCTTCACTCTGAGTATTCCACACTCACCTGGGCACTGTGCAGGTGTGGCTTTCATGGGTGGGCCACTGAACGTATGGGTGTTGCAGTGAAGGTATGGGTGTGAAAATGAAGATATGGGTGTGCCACTGAAGAAATGGGTGTGGCATTAAAGGAATAGGTGTGGCCCTGAAGTTATGAGTGTAGCACGGAAGGTATGGGTGTGGCTCATCAGGGTGGAACTCACAAAGCAAAAGTGGGCGGGGGTTTGGGGTGAGACTCACCAGGGGAGAGCGAGCGAGGGTGTGGGTGGGTCCCACCACGGGAGAGTGGGCGGGGGTGTGGGGTAAGACTCACCAGGGAGAGTGATCGAGGGTGTGGATGGGTCTCACCAGGGGAAAGTAGGCGGGGGTGTAAGTGGGACTCACCAAGGCGGGGGGTTTGTGGTGGGGCTCACCAGAGAAAAGTAGGCGGGGGGGGGGTTTGGTGGGGCTCACCAGAGAAAAGTAGGCGGGGGGGGGGTTTGGTGGGGCTCACTAGGGAAGAGTGGGCGGGGGTGTGGATGGGACTCACCAGGGAAGAGTGGGCGGGGGTTGCGGTGGGACTCACCAGGGTAGACTGGGCGGGAGGTTGTGGGGGGACTCACCAGGGAGGAGTGGGCGGGGTGTGGGTGGGACTCACCAGGGTAGAGTGGGCGGGGGCGGGGGTCGCTGGGAGGCGCAGCGTCCTGGACGTAGCGGTGGGGGGCGGCCTCGGTGGGGGAAGCAGCTCCTGGGGGGGCACTCGTATCTGAAGGTATCCAGGGGAGGGGATACAATTATATTCCTCATAGGAGGAGCGTGGTGAGGGGTGGTCAGTTACTTTCCTCCCAGCAACGAGGTGTGATATTTTATTACTAGGAACGGGAGGTATGAAGTGAAAAGGATATTTATTTTCTTCATGTTTATATGGTCTCCTTTGTAATGTATTTTCACAAGAGTCACTTTATTATTTTCGTGTTGGGGAATTTCTCTGTCGCCTGCGTATAACAGGGATAATTCTCATCCGGTGTTTATCAAGGTAACTTTATTATGTGTGTGTGGAAACCATTTATTGCGAGAGTGTGGGAATACTTTATTGTTTCTGTGTGAATGGAATGCCTTCGTGTGAAGTGAGGGCTATTTACAGCTTGAGTATCTCGTAACTAAGGTATATTCTTCTGTGTGCACTTAAGGAAGAACCAGTTAGTATATTAGTAGCTTATATTAGTAGACAAAGATATTAATCTGGTATATCCAGGTATACAGAGACATTATACTATTATACTAGCAGAAAAGGAGCTTCAATTAGTATACACTGGTATACACAAACATTTTACTCACAGATAGATTAAACTGGCATATCCCTGTATATAGGAAGCTTAAACTATGAGACAAAGAAAATAAACTAGCATATAGGGTGCCAACAGTAGCAGACAAAGTTATTTAACTGAAATATATTAGTATTGCGGTAGCTTAAATTAGCAAGCACTCGAATTAAACTTGTATATCTGTGTATATCAGGAATTTAAACTAACAGATGAAAAAAATAATATGTTAATATGCAGGAAGCTCATACCAGCAGACAAGGAGTTTATCCAATGTCCCTCTCTGCCCCTATGAACCAGGCAAACTTTGATGAGATCGTCCGTTTTCGTTATTTTTTTGCTTTCATTAATTCTAGAGTACAAATTCCTACTTTTTTCCCCCCCTACACATGTCTTTTCACAGTGATCACTCTGGATTGTGAAGACACCGGTAGTAGGCATAAGTTACTGTGTCGATTGCCGCCTGCTGGTGAGATCTGCTTGATGTTGATGCTGAAATTGCGAAGTGGATGTTGCTTGCAAGCAGGGCACGTATGGTCTTACTGGCCACTCGGGAGGGCTTAATATATCCTTGGCGATGAGTTCCCTTGGTGTTGAATTAGGATGATTTTGTCTATGAAGACAAAATAGGGTACCTTTTTAGCGACATTAACATGCATCAGCCCATCACGGATATATAGCTTAATAATCACACAAAAGATATCCTTCAGAAATCCCGACGTATCTTGAAAACGTCAGAACACGGCAAGAAATTAACGCGTCTTCTACCAGGACAATACTGATCTGTTAAAATAAACGAACTATCCAAAACTCACAAACCCAACTCGCCTCCCTGAGTCATTGCTTTAGGCACTGGAGGTATCCGACATAGTCTAGAATCCACGGCAAACACCTGTCCTCACTGCTTGGAGGACAGGTGTTTGGGAACATCCTGTCATGCATTTACGACAACATCAAACGTAAATTCTTAGCCTCGTTTGATGTTACCTCCTTCTTCCCCAGTGATGGTGATATTAGCATACATAAACAGTGGATTAACAGTGACACCAATCTCCCTTTCCAACACCAGATTTTCATTTAATTCGCTGACCTCTGCATCAGTTTTAACTGTTTTAAATATGAGAACAGTTGGGTTAGCAACGGAGAAGCCACTTAGCGCCGTGCACACGAGCATCTATACGAAACATATGGAGACAGAAGTGTTCCAGACCATCATCTCTAGTACCTAAATATTTCTACGGTACTTGGACGACATTCGGGTAATAATTCTCGGTTTTTAGTTGGAGGTTTTCAACATTTGTATTTTTTTTTCTTTGAGGAGAAATACACCTACATACTCCAAACATCCCACAAACTTCAATTCCCAGCTTTCTTCATGTAAGACTGTAGAGACCCAAGGTCATTCATAATTCAACACTAAGGAAGCACACCAAAAATATTTAGTACTCCCGAGCAATAGTGTAGATAACAACACAACACGTGCCGTGGCTGTAAGCAACATCTAGGTTGCAACTGCAGCATCTTCATCTAGGAGATATCTCACTAGCAGGCGGCCCTCGACACAACATCTTTCATCTACTGCTCGTGCCGTCACAATCCCATATGGTCACTTTGAAAAGAAATATGACGGAAAAACAGACAGGAATTTGAGCACTCGAAAAATACTTTCATAAGGGACGATCTCAACAACAGCTGCGTGCTTTCACAGGGACAGAAAGGACCATTTGATTAACTTTACTAAAAAAATGCATAATCTTCACAGAATCTAATCACGACAGACGCTGTTGTATACAAGTTTGCTTTACTGCACTAACGAATTCAGTCACACAAAGAGCAGGAAATTTCAGGATTGGTGAGACCCTGTGAGACCCTGTGAGACCCTGTGAGACCCTGTGAGACCCTGTGAGACCCTGTGACACCTTGTGAGACCCTGTGACACCCTGTGACACCCTGTGACACCTTGGCACATATGATTATCCAACAAGCGTCGCCCGGCGCATCACCAGATGCTGCAGCTAGATCACATGCCAGCAAATTTTACTTCTCAGACGTCTTCTCTGTTTTTATTACATTTATGTATATTTGGAGAGATCGATCTCAAGGTCAATACATTTCCAATAAACATGTTTTTATGATCTCATTTTTTTTCTTTCTCCTGTTTTCAGCGATCTGTAGTTACCTAACTGAATCTAGCTAATTACTCGGGTAACTGTACTTACCTAAGTGTTCTCACCTAACTTTACTCATGTAACTGTATTCGCCTGACTGTAGTCACCTAATTGTACTTACCTCAGTGCACTCACGTAACTGCACTCACCCCACTGTACTCATCTAACTATACTCACAAATGTATTCACCTAAACATTCTAATGTAAATGTACTCATCTAACTATAGTCATCTAACAATTCTTACCTCAATGTACTCTACTATACTCCTTTAACTGTACTCGACTGTACTCACATGACGTACTAACTGTACTCAACTGTACTCACATAACTTGCCATCACTTACACTCGTTTTGTCTCACTTGTTATTTATGAATAAAAAACAGAATAATGTAAATATTTTTAAATAAATATTAAAAGTTCATTAAAATCTATTGATTCAGGCAAAAACGAACTTTTTAATAAATTAATATTGAGCTTTTTTTTTTTTTTGCAAAAGAATGTTTACAAATGAACTTTTTCTAAATACCAAAAAAGTTTATTCACTTTGTGTAAAAGATGGGAAAAAATGCTGTTTTAGAGAAAAAAAAAGATTAGTTTATTTTGTGTGTAACAGATGGCGCACAAGTGAACGTTTTGGGAAAAATATATTTAACCAAATTTCTGTGTAATATATAATATTCGTTTATGAGGACCTAAATGAGAATAGGAACAGTGAGTTCGTTAGGTTTAAACCCTATCTACTGCACGGTGGCCATGAAAGCTGAGGTCAATCAGGCAAAAACATCAAAGATGACTATATCTCCTTACACATGGAAAAATATATATTGTAATTATTATTATTGTAGCCATGGGGAGGCAATCGTGTTTGATGTGAGGAAAACAGCACCAAATCCTTGGATCAAGAGCTCTTCAACAGCATTAATGCATCTACTTTCAAAGATCCTCAATGATTTAAAAAAAATCGTCCCCAAAATTTTAGTGTTTGTAAGATTTTTTTTAGCAAACTGAAGAATAAATTGTATTACTATTCTTTTTAATAAAAATAATGTTCCCTTGTACTAGTAAGGCAGAAAATAGTCTTCTCAAATCCAGAATACAATGTCCCCTCACGGAGATTAAATTTTGCTTCTGCCATGAAAATCCATTGTCTCAAAGTTTACATTATGTATCAGCCGAGGCAAGACTCTGAACAATTCTGTCTCAGTCCTGACTGTCTTCTTTCTCGCTGGCTCTCTTTCCTACCTCTTTATGTCTATATGTCCTCCTTTCCGGTTATTTCTATATGTCACGTCCATTTAATAAATTTTACAGTCGTGGCTTTCTACTTTCTCGCTGTCTGTATTTCCTACCTCTGTATGTCTTAATATCTGTCTCTCCGTTCGTTTCTGGTAGTCATTTCAATTTATTAAATTTGTATCTCTGACTTAGCAATAATGTTCCTTCGCGTCTGTTTATTTGTGTCTCGTTCTCGTTCTCGTTGTGTCACTTACGCTGCCAGGAGGAGGATGAAGAGGAAGTGGATGAGGAAGCTGTATCAGGCACCAGGTAGATTTTCTCCAGTACCTTGCCGTCTACTCGACCCTTAACGTTGTACATATCTCCTTCTGTCTCAGGAGTAGCTTCGGTAGTAGTAGTAGTGGTGGTAGAGAGGGTGGTAGTAGTGGTGGTTGTTGTCGTGGTTGTAGTTGTGGTAGTGGAGAGCTCTGAAAATAAATAAAGGAGGTTATACCTATAAGTATTCATGGAGTTACTATAGCACATGGCAAATCCACAATAAAGTTAATTTCTTAAAATCCATAAAAAATAGAAAAAAGCAAGTTTTTTTTACTTTCATATATAACAATGACGAATCCTTGCCACATATACTGACTAAATTTGAAATTCAAAATCTCAATATTACTATTTTTATGGAGTATTCAAAAAAGCGTACTCGTCTGCCACACGTTTGGGGGGGGGGAGGGGCAATAGAAGTCAACCCCAAAAAAATGTTGAGAGAAAATATGAAATAATGCAACATTTTTATCATCTAATTATGACCAAAAAATTGTTTCTCAGAATGTATCCGCCCTTAACAGAATGTACAACGTCCGTGTCGGCCGCTGTACCTAAACCAGGAACCTGACAGCTAACTTCACTTATTATTATATTAATTATCTAGAAAAACGACAGATAGATGAATAAGCCACAAGTGCAACATTTGAGTATCTTTATTGTGGAAACGTTTTACAGACAAGTGACTTTATTAAACCGATACAGAGAAAAAAAGTGAAGATGTGACGAGGGAATATGAATTAAAAGGGGAGTAGCAAGTATTATAACCTTAGCACATTTTAAAATATTATGTGAATGTATAACATATAAACAGACACAAACACACACACACACACACACACCTCCAACCTCAACTAGGTGCGTACACGCACATACACACACACTCCTGTTTGGGTTGGGGGGCTTACAAATAATTACTCCCACGACAAGGTAATTATCGTACCAAGTCAAGCCAGGTTGCCAACTCGTAAATAGTGCGGACAATTTCCCGTGTCTGTCGGCGTCGTAAAGTTGAGTGTCAGGACCTGTGTCTCTCAGGTGCTAAATTCCTTTACACAGTTCCGGTTTCTCTCTGTCGGTCTGTTTGTCTCTCTGTCTCTTACATTGTATCTTCTATGATCTTGGTGTCTGTTCCATGTTTCTGTGTTTGTTTACTTGCTTTTGTATATTTGTGAGCCTTCGTGTCTTTGTGCCTGTCTGTCTTTCTGTCAGTGTGTCTGACTGTGTTCTTATCTGTTAGCTGTGTCTACCTTTCTGCGTAACTACCTGTTTGTTTGTGTGTGTGTGTGTGTGTGTGCGTGTGTGTGTGTACCCTTCTCACTTTTCACTTTACCTATGAACTCAAACATGGCGTTGCCTCCACTTTAACCATCCCTTCCTGCTAGTATCACTGAAAACGAAGAGAACGGTTCATTCAGAATTTAAATTATACCCTAATTCTTCTAGTCTCGGATTATTTGTTTTTATCATCTCTTTCCTTGTTTCTGAGTATTGCGCTGCTGTGATCATCTCTCCTCTGGTTCTCCGGTAATTTCTTGATTAAAAAATATTTTTTGTCATATCCTTAAATTCCACTCTTCGTAATTCTAAGCCCAATCTTGTAACAAACGTAGTATCTTTCTCTATTTTTTCATTCTTTTTTTTTGTATGCTTTATTCAAATCACTAAAGTATACATGAAAAGGAGGAGAATATGTATATTCTACTGTCTTGATAATGCCCATTGTATTGGAGAAAGGTCGTTGTTAGCTCTTCTCTCTATGTGCGAGTTATTTGTGTATTGTGTAAGGAAACAGTGTCGTTAATAAATGCATTTGCATTCCAGTTCCAGGAGGGTTCCATGCTGGCGTCTTCCTGGAACGTAGTACCATTGCTCCAATACAGTCCTTAGCGTATGCAGTGCTCAGAGATCTGAATATCTCGTTATTCAGAGTCCTGAAGTTTTTCTATATATTTGCCAGCAATGTTCCACTGATGTTACTATTGTTTATGTCATGATCAAAGATGAGTAACAGGAAGACATGTATGCACTGATCATGACATTTATTATGGAAACGTATCGCTACAAGGTACTTCTTCAGGCTTCATAGGACTGAAGGAGCCACTTGTGGCAAAATGTTGCCTTAATAAATGGCTTGATTGGCCTCTCACTTCTCACCTCTTTCCCACCAACACATCATCCACATTCATCTTCCAAAACCTTTCCTCTCACCCACCACGCATCCCCACTCACCCACCCCTCGCCCACCCTGACCCCACTCTTTTAGCCCAGCATATACATCCATCTCCACCAACACTCCATCAACCTTACATCCACCTTATGGGCATTTCCAACCATGTTCTCGGTAATAACACAAGAGGGAGATTTAAAACACGACAAGTTTTAATGCAGCAGCTATTTGACGTAATGTTGTACGTCAGTTTTTTTTTAACTTTTAAAATTGCCTTCCTATTACTGATTATAATTTATATTATGTTTTCTTAGGTTAACTTGGGTTGGATTAGGTTACGTAACCTATGGAAAGGTATATTTCACGGCGAGAAAATACAAAAATCGGCTTAAATACTTCTGGCTACGAGGTGGCCGAAGAAAAATAGGGAAAGCCGAATTGTTAATGTTGTGTATCTCTTGTTTGCAAGGATGGTGTGGTATGTTGCACCCTGCAGCACGCAACACTCCACGGAGGAATCTTTCACTGCAGGACGTGTCGATACTCGGCGTCAGCAAATTTGTTCATCAATGTTCTTATATTCTCTAGGAATTTTCCCTAAAGGGCCTGGGGGAATTTTCCCTGACGCGCTCAGGGAATTTATTCCTAATGCCTTCGTTAATAAACAGACGAAGACATCCTCAGAAAAAATATATCTTTTGCGATAGTAAAAAAATACTCACGGCTGCTGGACAGTCTATTATTATTATTGTTAGATGGAATCATAGCTTAGTCTGTGTAACTGTATTATCGCCAAGAGAGACAGAGAAACAGACACACACATAGAGAGACTAACAGAGAGATATTGTAATATCTCACTAACAACAAGCAACTAACCCCCAGACACCACAATTTTAAAGTTGGGCGAGACTTGCAGCTTGGTTCATCATTTACCTTTCTTAATTATCAAAAAGATTTCTGAGTTATAAATGACCAACCATTACTATAATTTTTGTGGGAAAAAAGAAACACAACGATAATAATGATGGTAATGAGGGCAGGATTGATAGTGATGATGATAATGATAATGATGATGGTAGTGATGATGATGATAATGATGTTGACAATGGTGATGATGATAGGGATGATAATGATAATTATCGTAGGGGAGTGGTGATGATTATGATAACGAGGATGATGAATGTTGTGGTAGTGATGATTAAAATAATGGTGAAGATCGTGATGACGATGATGATACTATATGACCAAAAATATACTGTACTACTATAATATTAATAATATATATAATAATAATATAATAATAATTAATAATATATAATAATAATAATATGTAATATAAAATAATAATAATTATAATATGATATAATAATAAAATAAAAATAATAATAATAATAATAATAATAATAATAATAATAATAATAATAATATATGATAATAATAATAACAATAATAATAATATAATAATAATAATAATAATAATAATAATAATATATAATAATAATAATAATAATAATAATGCCATACCGGCAAATCAAATATAATATAATAGTAATAATAATAATAATATAATATAATAATAATAATAATAATAATAATAATAATAATAATAATAAATATTAAAATAAAATTATTATTAACCTAAACCAGGTCTTGGACCTGAGGTTGAAGAAGGAATTACCTAAGAGTAATGTGGTCACATATCAGTGGCGTTCAGAATTTACGTAGAGATAGTTCACTATGCATGGCTGAGTGGGCACAATGAAGTCACCAGTTACACTTCGAAGCCAGCAGATGGAACCAGTGGAGGGCAGTGCAGTTATAGCCATAGTTTTCGGCACGTCTATATGGCTGACAAAATAGCCATATTCTGGTACCTGCATATTGATCTAAAATACACGTTTCTCTCTACGACTTACCGTAGTTGAATTAGTTATAGAGGCTAAATTAAGGATATTCAAGCCATGTTTCAAAATCTTATGGCTAACTCGAGGAAACTCAGCCATCACTTTTTCTTTATAGGTTTGTGAAGCAATCAAGCCATAGCTTTCTCACTCCTGCTAACTTTCCATAATAAATTCCCACTGCTGAGATTTCAATCCCCACTTTTTTTTCCTAATACGAACTCCAACTCTTACTCCCACCTTGTGCTTTTCTTTCTCCTCCTCCATAGCCTCTTCCATTCTCTCTCTCTCTCTCTCTCTCTCTCTCTCTCTCTCTTCTCTCTCTCTCTCTCTCTCTCTCTTCTCTCTCTCTCTCTCTCTCTCTCTCTCGCTCGCTCGCTAGCTTTCCTCCCTGCATTAGCATAATTGCCAACCACTCGACACCAGTTCCTCGTCAGAGCGGCAAAATATGCATCGCGGACTTGCTGGGCTGATGGGGATACATCATCATCCTCCCTCGAGGCCCAACTCCGTGCCAATACTTCCCCCAAGTTCGGTGATAAAATCCTCGTGTAGCCCCTCACCGTGGGGGGCCAGCAAAGGCAGGCAAGGAAAAACAGGAACTCCTGTCATGGTGGTTTCTGTTAGGTGATTGTGGCTCTCACAACAGCAGGCCTGATACATGGTAAGAGCCAATTCTCATAGACTCATACATATACTACAAAGACTCACCGAACTCATGGCAAACCAGATGTAAAGCGCTGATGGTTTCAGGTATTGACTTGCCATGGGTTCTAATTCTCCATTCAGTGAGTTGTTCACAGTCGTGTCATTACAATTTTTTGAGTTAAGAATATTATTGCTTTGGGGACCCTAGGACATTAGCTAGCGTTTATTAATTATTACTAGGACAGTAAGTAACTTACGGTCAATATTTCTAGGACACTCTAACTTGGAATCAATATCACTTGGATATTAACTAGCTTATGGTCAACGGCATTAAGGCATTAACTAGCTTGCGGTCAACGACACTAAGACATTGACTAGAATGTGATCAATAGCGCTAAAGGAATAACTAGCTTGTAGTCAACTACATTAAAAC